CTGCATTTGAGTTGGAATGCTTTGCTGTAGTTCAATCAGTTGAATACTTTGAAGTTTATCTTGAGAACAATACATTTGAAGTCATTACAGATCATTCGGCTTTGGAATGGCTCTTCAACGTAAAGAAACCAAAGGCAAAATATCTCCGATGGATAATTGAATTATCAACCAAGTCAATGAAAATAGTTCACAGATCAGGATCATAGCAAACGCATGTTGATGCATTGTCAAGATCACCAGTGTCATTTCATGTATCAATCCCCACTCTTCGACTACACCAACAAAAATCGGATCTCAGTTTTGTAAAGAACTCTCATATTCATCGAGATCTTATTATGGTGAAACATAATGAAGTTCTAAAAACAGTTGTTCCAGAATCATTCCAAGAAGAAATTCTCAAAGAATACCACGATAATCATTCTCACCCCTCAATTAACAAGACAGTAAGATTGATAACACCATTTTATTGGTGGCCGAATGCTATCAGATGCATCAAAGACTATGTTCGCTCATGTAAAATATGTCAAATAACTAAATGCAGTCATAAACCATTTATTGGAGAATATGTTGCACCAAACTCTGATCTGAAACCACTGGAATTAATATCAATGGATACTATTGTGCTAGGCTCTGCAGCAAATGAAACCAAGCACAAATACATTCAAGTAATAATTGACCACCTAACAAGATTTGTTAGGGCTTTCCCTACTGTCATCAACACTTCTCAAGCAGTAATTCAATGTTTAGACAAAATCAACAAAACTGTTCCCCAAATCAAATGTATTTTAACCGACAACGGAAAGAATTTTACACCAAAAGAATTTAACAAGTTTTTGAATGAGAATCAAGTTCAACACACCTATTCGACGCCATATCATCCGCAGAGTAATGGACTGTGTGAAAAGATGAATGACACTATACTCACCAAATTAAAAACAAACCTTCAAGAGAATCCAAGACTAAAATGGTCATCATTACTTGCCAAAATTGTGAAAGATTTAATAGCACACCCCATGATGTCACTGGGTTTTCTCCAAATTTCCTACTTTTTGGTGATTGTGCAATACCAGAATTTTCTGAATCACCACATTTCACCATAGAAAATGCAAGGAAGAAAGCAATAGAAAATAGCGCAAAGCATAGAGAAAAGTGGAAAGCACGACACGATGCAAAACATCCGCAGTCGTCATTCAAAGTTGGTGATCTGGTCCTTCGTAAAATAGCTAGTAATGATCCAAGTATGGTCAAAACATCCCCAAAGTATGAGGGTCCTTTTCAAATAACAAGAATAATATCTAGTGTTACGTGTGAATTATTGAAAGATGATTCCTCCTTGGTTAAAGTTCATGTGTCACAATTGAAACCATTTATTTTGCGAAAATAAATCCTTCAAGCCGAGGGATATGACACGTTTCTGAATTTTGTAATTAATTTTGTAATTAGTTTTTCATTGTTTTTTAATGTGTGATCAATAACTCTTATCATCATTGGAAAAAAGAACAATTAATAAACAGAAGAACAACAACATGGTAAATTTGCCTATTTATTTGAAACAAACAAACAAATTAAATAAAGATTTAAAATAAAACATTTTCTAAAAAAGTTAAAGCAAAAATAAAACGTTACAATATATATATATATTATAAATAAAGAAAGCATCTCCTGACTACGAGCACATGTGCTTTTTAGATGGCAGAGCGCCATATAGTGGAGCAAGAATAAACTAAACGTTTATTTAGCTTGCTCCGTGATATTTGGCCAACCCATTTTTTTGATAAATCAAGAAAAGTTATCCACGAACGCGTTTCGCTCTGTTGGCGCTCGTCAGCGTGGAGAAGGCTGTAACCACTGCGACCAAAAATATTTTTTGGTCCCAATGGCTTCCCGAAAAATCTAGAAATGGGTATTTAAGGCCAAATTTGCGTAAAGACGCTTAACACATGAAAAAACAATAGAAAAAAATAAAAGATAAGTGGGTCAGGTGTTGATATTAAAAATAAATATCACGGAGCAAGCTAAATAAACGTTTAGTTTATTTTTGCTCCACTAGTTGGCGCTCTGGCATCTAAAAAGCACATGTGCTCGTGGTCAGGAGATGCCTTATTTATTTTTAATATCAACACCTGACCCACTTATCTTTTATTTTTTTCTATTGTATTTTCATGTGTTAAGCGTCTTTACGCAAATTTGGCCTTAAATACCCATTTCTTGATTTTTCGGGAAGCAATTGGGACCAAAAAATATTTTTGGTCGCAGTGGTTACAACCTTCTCCACGCTGACGAGCGCCAACAGCGCGAAACGGGTTCGTGGATGGCTTTTCTTGATTTATCAAGAAAATTGGGTTGGCCAAATATCACGGAGCAAGCTAAATAAACGTTTAGTTTTTTTTTGCTCCACTAGATGGCGCTCTGCCATCTAAAAAGCACACGTGCTCGTGGTCAGGAGATGTCTTATTTATTTTTTATATCAACACTTGACCCACTTATCTTTAATTTTTTTTCTATTGTTTTTTTCAAATATATATATATATATATAGTACGAGATGTGTTCAAAAAGTATCGCGACCTTTGAATTTTCGCGGGTTACGTATATTCGAATTTCGATATTTTTGTGGCTTTATTTTGGTACTCATGTCTCTCACTTATGCCGACAAGCTCGGCCATTTTGAATGTTCACTTAATTGTTGACAGCTGCTTTGCTTGCAGGTGTTTTGGATCTTCTTCGATTTTTACCTATTAAAAAAATGGATCAAAGAACCTGTATCAAATTTTGTGTGAAAAACGAAATTAAGTGCGCGGATACATTCCGAATGTTGACTGTGGCATACGGAGAAGCTACCTTGGACCAAAGCAACGTTTATCAGTGGTACAGAATGTTCTCAAAAGGCCGAGAAGATGTGAATGACGAAGAGTGTGCCGGACGCCCGAGAACTTCAACAACAGACGAAAAAATTAATGAAGTGGAGAAAATGATATTGGACAATCGTCGAATAACCTTTAGAGAAGTTGCTGAGGACCTAAACATATCGATTGGCTCGTGCCATTCGATTTTTATCAATGATTTGGGCATGAGACGGGTCGCCGCGAAATTCGTACCAAAATTGCTCAATTGCGACCAAAAACAGCATCGCATGAACATTGCTAATGAGATGTTGGACTCTGTCCGCGACGACTCAAATTTGCTCCAGAGGGTCATAACTGGTGACGAAGCGTGGGTTTATGGTTATGACGTGGAAACCAAAGCTCAATCATCTCAATGGAAGCTGCTGTACGAACCAAGACCGAAAAAAGCGCGCCAAGTTCGGTCGAATGTGAAAGTTTTGCTGAGAGTTTTCTTCGATTGCAGGGGCGTGGTGCATCATGAGTTCTTGCCACAGGGTAGAACGGTCAATAAGGAATATTACCTGCAAGTTATGCGCAATTTTCGCGAAGCAATCCGCCAGAAACGCCCGGATTTGTGGAAGAACAAAAATTGGCTTTTGCACCACAAAAACGCCCCTGCTCACACATCGTTGCTTGTGCGCGACCTTTTGGCCAAAAACAACACACTAATGATGCCGCAGCCACCGTATTCCCCAGAACTGGCCCCCTGTGACTTTTTTTTGTTCCCCAAACTGAAGAGGCCCATGAAAGGACGACGTTACGCTACGCTTGACGAGATAAAGACAGCATCGAAGGAGGAGCTGAAAAGATTTTAAAAAATGATTTTTTGAAGTGCTTCGAAGATTGGAAAAACCGTTGACACAAGTGTATAATATCTCATGTGGATTACTTTGAAGGGGACAAAATAGGTATTCATGAATAAATAAATAATTTTTGGAAAAACACAAAAGTCACGATACCTTTTGAACACACCTCGTATATATATATATTTTTTTCTTTTTTTCACATGAAAAGCGTATTTACACAAATTGCCCTTAAATACCCATTTCTTGATTTCTCAGGATGCCTCTGGGACCAAATTTTGGTCGTAGAGGTACAGTCTGTACCACGCTGATGAGGGCCAACAGCCTGAAACGCGCTCGTGGGAGACTTTTCTTATTAATCAAGAAATTGCGTTGGTCAAATATCTAGGAGCAAGTTGAATAATCGTTTAGTTAACGGGCGGCCCGGGTTCGATTCCCGGCCGATGCATTTTTTTTTTTACAATTTTTAAAACTCATTTATATTATTATTGAAATATACAAGTATCAGAGTCATCAATTATGTCATCGTTTGCTTTTGTGAATGGAATGCTTTTACGTAATATACGTAAAATACGTAACTAATATGACTGAAAATTTAGCAGTATGTATAGTAAAATCTGGAAAACTTATATTGCATATGTCAGGTCTCTATTCCGAATATTCTTCGAGTTATTTGCAAATTTGAGTTAAAAATTTGCTCTTTTGCTCGCAAGCAACGCCTCTAGCGGTGAAGATGGGAGGTAATATCAGCTGACCTAATGTACATGTAAAACGTGTTTTAACAGGACATAGACAAAAATATGGAAAAGATATTTGTCGCATTTTTAGCCAAGAAAATTTGAAATTGACAGGTTCTGGCCAAAAATAGTTGTTTTTTTTTAGTCAGAAAATGATTATGACAATATTGCTGTATCATATTTGATTATCAGATACAAAATTATGTCTGGAAAAATTCCAAAAAGCAGAGACCACGGGTGAAGCCAGTTCATTTTTAGTATGCAGGAACAAAATTCGAACAGAAAAACATTCATTCGAGCATAAGACACAAAGCCAGATCATCTCTTTATAAAAATATCGCTTCTCAGACACAAAGTTGGAGCGGGACGTTTCACAAGAATGACATCCACGGAGCCAATTTATAATTGTATTAAATAGTATTCGAATAAAAGCATTTAATCGGGTAAAACCTGGGCGTTGTCCGGGTCATTTGGCTAGTAATAAATATATACAGCTATCAGCGTCATGCACAATTCTGTCACGTTAACTCACGTGTCTAGTTACAGTAAGTAAAAATTTAGAAATAAAAAAAAAAGATGCCGAAACCAGGAATTGAACCATGGACCTTTAGATCTACAGCCTAACGCTGTCCCAACTGAGCTATTTCGGCCTATTTTAGATATTTCTATAGAAGCTTATATCTTTATAATCTATCTATATATATATATATATATATTGTAACGTTTAATTTTTGCTTTAACTTTTTAAAAATATTTTATTTTAAATCTTTATCTAATTTGTTTGTTTGTTTTAAATAAAGAGGCAAATTTACCATGTAGTTGTTCTTCTGTTTATTATTTGTTCTCTCCTTTTAATGATGATAAAAGTTATTGATTACATATAAAAATCAATGAAAAATTAATTACAAAATTAATTACAAAATTCAGAAACGTGTCATATCCCTCGGCTTGAAGGATTTATTTTCGCAAAATAAATGGTTTCAATTGTGACACATGAACTTTAACCAAGGAGGAATCATCTTTCAATAATTCACACGTAACACTAGATATTATTCTTGTTATTTGAAAAGGACCCTCATACTTTGGGGATGTTTTGACCATACTTGGATCATTACTAGCTATTTTACGAAGGACCAGATCACCAACTTTGAATGACGACTGCGGATGTTTTGCATCGTGTCGTGCTTTCCACTTTTCTCTATGCTTTGCGCTATTTTCTATTGCTTTTTTCCTTGCATTTTCTATGGTGAAATGTGGTGATTCAGAATATTCTGGTATTGCACAATCACCAAAAAGTAGTAAATTTGGAGAAAACCCAGTGACATCATGGGGTGTGCTATTATAATCTTTCACAATTTTGGCAAGTAATGATGACCATTTTAGTCTTGGATTCTCTTGAAGGTTTGTTCTTAATTTGGTGAGTATAGTGTTATTCATCTTTTCACACAGTTCATTACTCTGCGGATGATATGGCGTCGAATAGGTGTGTTGAACCTGATGCTCTTTCAAAAACTTGTTAAATTCTTTTGATGTAAAATTCTTTCCGTTGTCGGTTAAAATACATTTGATTTGGGGAACAGTTTTGTTGATTTTGTCTAAACATTGAATTACTGCTTGAGAAGTGTTGGTGACAGTAGGGAAAGCCCAAACAAATCTTGTTAGGTGGTCAATTATTACTTGAATGTATTTGTGCTTGGTTTCATTTGCTGCAGAGCCTAGCACAATAGTATCCATTGATATTAATTCCAGTGGTTTCAGATCAGAGTTTGGTGCAACATATGCTCCAATAAATGGTTTATGACTGCATTTAGTTATTTGACATATTTTACATGAGCGAACATAGTCTTTGATGCATTTGATAGCATTCGGCCACCAATAAAATGGTGTTATCAATCTTACTGTCTTGTTAATTGAGGGGTGAGATTGATTATCGTGGTATTCTTTGAGAATATTTCTTCTTGGAATGATTCTGGAACAACTGTTTTTAGAACTCCATTATGTTTCACCATAATAAGATCTCAATGAATATGAGAGTTCTTTACAAAACTGAGATCCGCTTTTTGTTGGTGTAGTCAAAGAGTGGGGATTGATATATGAAATGACACTGGTGATCTTGACAATGCATCAACATGCGTTTGCTTTGATCCTGATCTGTGAACTATTTTCATTGACTTGGTTGATAATTCAATTATCCATCGGAGATATTTTGCCTTTGGTTTCTTTACGTTGAAGAGCCATTCCAAAGCCGAATGATCTGTAATGACTTCAAATGTATTGTTCTCAAGATAAACTTCAAAGTATTCAACTGATTGAACTACAGCAAAGCATTCCAACTCAAATGCAGAATAGTTCTGTTGATGTGGTAGAGGTTTCCCTGAATAATAGGAAATTACATGTTCTTGATTATCATTTCCAATCTGAGCTAAAATAGCACCAATTCCCAGTTTAGATGCATCTGTATAAAGATTACATGATAATGAAGGATCATATGTAGAAAGAACTGGATCTGTGGATAAATGAGACTTTAGTTCCTGAAATGATTTGTTAACTTCAATAGTCCATTTGAATAACTTATCTTTTCTTGTGAGGCTTGTTAAAGGATCTGCAATTTCACTAAATTTAGGAATAAATTTCCTGTAGTAACCTGCTAAACCCAAAAACTGCCTTACTTGCTTCACTGTTTTAGGTTGAGGGAACTCATTTATTGCTTTTGTTTTTTCAGGGTCAGGTTTAATCTTGTTATGTCCTATGATATTACCTAAATATCTTATTTCTTGTTTTGCAAAGGAGCATTTCTTCAACTTGAGTTTGATATTGTTTTCTTTAAGCTTGTCAAATATTTTCTTCATGAGTTCAATATGATCTTTAAAAGTACTGCTGTAAATTAGAATATCATCTTGATAATTACAAACACCGTTCCAAAGAAGATTTCCAATAATATGCTGAATTATTCGCTGAAAAGTACTTGGAGCATTTTTCAAGCCAAATGGCATAACCAAAAATTCATAATGCCCGTCATTTGTAATGAAAGCAGTTTTCTCAACAGAGTCTGGATGCATTTCAACATGCCAATAGCTCCATGCTATGTCAAGTGTTGTGAAGTATTTCGCATTATGTAAGCGATCAAACATATCTTGGATGTATGGAAGAGGCTGCTTGTCATCAATTGTAATTGCATTCAGTTTTCGGTAATCAATGCACATCCTTTGTGAACCATCCTTTTTAGAGACCAACACTACGGGGAAGGCCCAAGGTGACTGAGATTCACTTATTAGTCCCTTTTTACTCAATTCTTCAACTTGTCTTTTTATTTCATCATATTCTGCAAGTGGTCTTCTATATGGTCTACAACTGATGGGTGGATGTTCAATTGTATGGATCTTGTGTTGAACAGCAAATCCTTCCGATGTCAGTTTCATGCTGGCTGAACAATGCTTGATTTTCTTTAAGTAATTGATTAAGCTCTTTTTGCTGAACAGATGGAAGATGCGTTTCAGGAGATATATAAAAACATTCATTTCCTTTAACATACACCGCTTTGTCTTTTGTGTCAATTATTAATCCAATTTTTCCTGCTACATCAAGTCCAATAAGCAATGGATAGCTAAAGTTTTTCACTACATGAAGCTTACACCCAACAAGTTTAGAATGGATTTTCAAAAATACTTCTACTGATCCTAAAGTGTATGCAACACTATCTACTTGTTTAATTTTGATTCTATCGTTTACATTCAATCTTAACTTATGTTGTTTTAAAAGCGAACAGCTCATTAATGAAATAGTTGACCCGGTATCAATAAAAGATGAAACTGGAATATTATTAAGTAAAACTTCAACATTAACAAATCTATAAGGAAAATTGGTATTTGCTATGCAAAGTGAATCAGCTATGGTTTGTTTAACATCTGTGGTGATATTAGTTGCTTGGTGTTTAAGCTTGTCTTTATAATTAGGATCATAATCTTTGCAATCACTTATCCAATGTTTAAAATACAATCCTTTTTTCTTACAAATAGGACACCAATATGGGCAATTTTTTGAGATTGTAGGTGTAGTTATATTAAAAACCTTGGTTTTACTTCTCTGTTGTTGCCTTATTTGATTATTGTTTTGTTCAATCTCCACGGCAATCTGCATCCAATGTGATGGATCTTTAGGCTGGGCTGTTACGAGATAATCGAGATAGCCATCTATCGGAATAAATATCAACTATTCTCGTTGATTTTTAATTATTCCAGAATTGGCCAAATACCCATTCTTGATTAATCAAGAAAAGCGAACCACGGACGCATTTCAGGCTATTGGCCCTCATCAGCGTGGTGCAAGCTGTACCTCAGAGAGAGAGAGAAAATATGGTTTTACGGGCTACTAACCAAAAGTTATGATTTTTGAGCCAAAGCGCGATGTCAGGTGGCAAGGGACCCTAGGATCTGGCTGCAGGAGATGTGTCGCAGGGGTAGTGGAAACGTTGGGCAAGCAGGGGAACAGAGCCAAGGTGCAGTGAGGCAGGAGAATTGAATTGGCCAGGAATCCAGTAGAAGTGGCAGATGGAATTGGAGGGAGAAGGTCCTTGAAGCCTAGAACTTGAGGGCCCTAGACTTCTGGATGGGGCAGCTTGAGGCTCTCGCCTCGTGCTTGTCAGTTGCACGACAAGGAGATGCCTTTTTCTTAATTTATGCCCCTTATCCCAGTACAATGTTATATTTGTACTATTTTTTCATATATATCTATATATATATAAGTCAATGTCTGTCTGTTTCGCGATAAACTCAAAAACTTCTGAACCAATTGGTACCAAATTTTTGCATGTCGCTTTTCATAAACCTGAGGAAAATTTTCGGCTGCATTTTGATTAGTATTTTTGGCTATTTCTTTTTTCATTTGAATAACTTTTTTTTACGGAATGGAATGAATCCGGAATGGAATGAATACCTGAATATATCCATTTTTTAAAAGCATCGGTGGTTCAGTGGTAGAATGCTGGCCTGCCACGCGGGCGGCCCGGGTTCGATTCCCGGCCGATGCATTTTTTTTACAATTTTCAAAACTCATTTATATTATATATAATATAATATAATATAATATATATTATTATACCAACCAACCAATATTAATTAAATCAAATACCTAAACACTAATATAATACAATTTTTTCATCACACACACATTTTTCCTGTAGTTTATGTGTTACTTCTGTATTGCTATTCTATGGCACTTCTAATATTTATTATTGATGTACTTTCAGTATGAAGGAAATTGCATTCGGGGAATTCTCGGGCGAAGCCGGGTCATACGTCTAGTCTATATATTTATAAATGAATGTTTGTATGTTTGTTTGTATGTCCCGTATACAAATTCGCAGTAGTTCACTAATTCAAACCAAAATTTCCATTAATAGGTAAAAAAAAAAACGCGGGGAAGACGATAGGCTATTTTAAAAAAATATATAAATCAATTATTAAAACTATATATATAAATTATTCTACTTAGCTCGCGAGCAGCGCCTCTAGCGGTGAAGATGGAAGGTAATATCAGCTGACCTAATGTACATGTGAAGTTTGGAGCGGGACGTTTCACAAGAGTGACATCCACGGCGCCAATTTATAATTGTAACGATTAGTGTTTGAATAAAACATTTAATCGAGTAAAC